TATAAATTCAATTCGATAAGATAAAAAAAAAAAAAAGAAAATAAATGTCGTGGAAATAGAAAAAAAAAGGAGAGAGGGGGATAAAACATATTCGTGTAATCGTTAAAAGAAAATAGATATTCGACTTAGTCAAATATCTTCGGGCAAAGTTTTAACCTTTTTTTTTTCTCCTTATCATCAATTCGTTTTTTTTTTTTTTTTTTATCTTTAATCGTTTTCACATTTTTTTTGCTCCCCCCTTTCCTTCCACTTTTTCAACTCGTTCTCGCCACGTTTTTTTTTTTTTTAGGGGGTTGGGTTTGGGAAATTTACGAACAAAATTTTAAAATTTATTTTTTTGTTTACGAAAAGTTTAAAAAACAAACAAATTTAAAAAAAAAAAAAAAACTTACCTCGAATTCGGGGAAATATTACATACCCCCAAAAAAAAAATAAATAAATTGACGTGTAATTAGGCGATATAAAAGGATATGGATTTGTTATCATTGCCAAACACCAATTCCTAGGTCTCGTTTTTTGATCCAGGTATTTCATAGCAAATGGTATAAAACCTGGATACGGCAGATCTTCTTCTTCTTCATCTTCTAAAAAAAAAAAAAATTATTATTATTATTATTATTATTATTATTTTAAAGTGGTTTTAGACTAACTAAAAAAACAAAATAATTTTTTTTTTTTTTATAACGAATCGGAAAAATGACAAGAAAAGAATTTTTAATTTAATGTTAATTAAATTTTAAAAAAATTTACCTCTTCGAAATATCGATTTTTTTTTTAGTTTTCTAATTCCACGAACAAAATAAGTAAAAAGCCAAAACCTTAAGAATAATTTTTAAAAAAAAAAAAAAAAAAAAACTTTTTAATTAGTGCCGCCATTTTTAAATTTATTTAATTATTCAATACTTTTTAATCATGTCGGCATTTTACGTTTTCTTAATAATTTAATTTTATTCTTACATGTATTGATAAAATATCGATTAAGTTAATAAATATAAGAAAATTATCGATCGATTATCGATTATCGACTTTTTTTTTTGGATAAAATTAAATTTTTTTTTTTTTTTTAAATTCGTGTTTGAAACTTTTTTTTAAAAACGAATCGTTTGTTTGCAAAAAAAAATAAAATAAATTTTTAATTAAATTTAATTAAAAACTAAAAAAATTTATCAATTAAAAACATCGTTAGCGTGCTTGTTTGTTTGTTTGTTTGTTTGTTTGTTAACCTCTAGAAAAAAAAAATAAATAAAAATAAATAAAATTCCAAATCGTTTTCCTCGACATTTTTTATTTTATTTTATTTTATTTTTTTGTTCAATCATTTTATTTTAATTAGTGACAATAATAAATCTACGTCACGTTTGTAACAAACAACAACAACAACAACTACAACCACAACCATTTATTTTTTTTTTTGACGTAATTTTTATTTGGATAAAATAATTTAGAAAAAAAAATTACCTTCGTTGTTTTCAACTTCGTCATCATCTTCGTCGTCATCGTCATCATCATCTTCGTCATCATCATCATCATCATCATTGTCATCATCTTCTAAATCCGACAGTGCAGCCACTTCACTATCCGAATTTTGTATATTATCCGCGTTTGTTGGCATTCGGTGTCCTCCGGTGACACCATCGTTCGATTGATGTTGGTAACTAAAAGACATTTCAACGCGGTGATCGCACTATATTATCACTACTAACACATACATTTTTACCAACTCCGACACTATTATTATTATTACTTTTTTCCATATCAAATTATCATTATCGTTTGTATTGATAAGAATCAATAATAATAATAATAATATATTTTATTCTGTGAGTTTCATTCTGGAAATAATAAAAATAAAAAAAATAATAATAAGGAAAAGTCTTACAAATTTTTTTTTATTTTTATTTTCGATAATTATTATTATTAATAATAAAATATATCTTCTGCTTGAAACGTAGAGAGAGAGAGAGAAAGAGAGAGATTAATAATAATAATGATAATAATAATGATGATGGAATACAACAATTAATAACGATAACGAAATGTGTATTAATTATTAAAAAAATGAGAGAGAGAGAGAAAGAGAAGGAAGAAAAAAAGTAAGGGGAAGGGGAAAAAAATCAAAAAAAAAATTTTTTTTCAATAATTTCTAATGCCCCGTCAAAACAAGATTAAAAATTACGGGAAAATTTTTTTTTTTTTTTTTTTTTTTTTTTTTTTATTTTCAATCATTAATTGGCAATAAATTTTTTTTTTTCGGGGAAAAGATCATCAGGTTGCCTCGACTAAAAGGGAAAAAAAAAAAAATTGGAATCGAGGTAATAAATTATTTCCATTAAGCATTTATTTGAAAGGTTTTTTCCCTACCCCTTCCCCTTCCCACTTCCGGTTCCTCCTTCCGGGAGATTTTCCAAAAAAAAAAAAAAAAAAAAAATTTAAATCCGATAATTTTAACTTCCAAAAAATATTGTTTTTTTTTTTTAAACTTTTTTTTTTTCCTCGTGTAAAAAAAACAACAACAAACGGGGGAAAATTTTTTAAATTATTTTAAAAAGTTTTTTTTTTTGGGGGGGGGGCGGAAGGTTGGCATTAAAATCTAATAAAAAAAAAAAATCGATCGATTCTCATTGGTCGGATTGTTGAGAGTATTTCGATTTTCCATGCAAACTTTAAATAAAATAATAATAATAATAATAATAGATTTTATTATAATCAATATGGCTGTCAAAAAACAATTTTTTAGTTTTATTATTATTATTATTATTATTATTATTGTTATCAAACAACAAACAATGACATAAAAAAAAAATATACGTATGAGAAAAAAAAAAAAGAAAGAAAAAAAATTTTTTTTTTTTTGTTTGTTTGTTTGTTTGTTTGTGTGTGTGTGTTTGTGTTTTCATAACGAATGCATCAATCAAGTTCTTCTGCTTCCTGTACGTATAGTGAGAGTTATGAAAAAAGGTTTTTTTTTCTCTCTCACTCTCTTTTTTTTTTTGTTTTTCCACTTCACTCATGGTTCATTTCCATTTTATACGGTTAAAGTCGAAAATTTCCAGGGAAAAGAAAAAAAAAATTTTTTTGTTTATTTATTTATTTCTTTTTTTCTGGAGGGAAAAAAAATTTTTTTTCTCTTTTTTTTTTTCGTTTGTTATTTATTTATTTTGTTTAAATTAAATTTTTTTTTTGTTCTTCCTTATCAAATCTTCATAAATTATTATTATTATTATTAGTAAAATTTTAAAATTGAATAATTTATTTGTACGTGAATTTTTTTTTTAAAAATAATTTTAGTAATGCATCGTCTTTGCTATTTTTTGTAAAATTAAATAATAATAATAATAATTTTTTTATTATATTTGGGAAAATGGTAATAGAAGATTAAACAAAATTAAATGACGATAAAAAAGGAAAAGTATAACAAGAACAAGAATAGCAACAGCACCAAGAATAAGAAAGACAGTAACAACAAGAAAAATATTAGCAACAAGAACAACAATTAGAAAATCAGTAACAACAAGAATAAGAACAACAACGACAGCAACAAAAACAGTAACAACAACGATAAGAAGCAACATCAAGAAGAAGAACAAGAATAACAGCAACAAAAACAGCAACAAGGGCAGAAACAAGAGGAACAAGAACAATAAGAAAAATAGCAACAACAACAACAACAAGAGCAGCAAAAACAACAGCAACAACACAACAACCCTTTCAGAAATAAAAATTATTATTTTGACCATTTAGCGTTGTTGTATATCACCTTTGTCAAGGAAGGAAAAAAAAAAAAAAAAAAAAAAAAAACTTTTTTCTTTTTACACGTCGTTGAATTTCAAACGACGTAAGACGACGACGATGACGACAACAGCAGAAACATGTTTTTTTTTTTTTTTTTATTCCCGTTTGGTTTGTTTTGTTTAAAAAAAAAAGAAATAATAATAATAATAATAATAATAATAATAATAATAATAATAATAATAATAACGAGTGAAATATTAAATTTAATTATATCATTCTTTCATTTAATTTTCCTTCCTTCCCTTCCTTCCTCGTCTTTCCTTCCCCTTCCTCCCCCGTTTCCTTATTTTTCAACCACATATTAGAATTCGGTCAATGGAAATAATTGAATTTTTCCTTCCGCTCT